AGCAGCAGGCCCTAGGGCTGTCTGGACCCCAGAGCCCACAGCGGCCTGCCTGTGACTTCCCGGTGGTGAACACCACAAGCCCAGAGCAGCAGTGGCCAATAACAGTGTCCCTTTCTCTCAGACACGTCCTGTGCCCTGGCAGGGACTGGAGGTGGCTGTACGGGGTTGGGGGGGGGGGGGGGGAGGGGGAGGATGGAATGGGAAGGGGAAACAAAGGAGGAGGCTGCAATGCTTAATAAGACATGTACTCATTATCTTGCCCATGTAATTGTAACCCCTCTGTACAGTATTTTTCACAATAAAAAAATTTTAAAAAAGGAAATGGAAAGAGCTGGAAAAAATTATATTAAGTGAAGTAAGCCAGGCCCAAAGAACCATAGGTCCCATAGTTTCTCTTATTTGCAATAACCAGTATATGTCTGAGACAAATAGAAAAGGTCAGATATGTTGATGTTAGGTGAAATGCACCCCAAGATAAGTATTCAAGTATTTTTTTCTTTCTTGTGATTGTTGCTAACGTATTTATAAGATGATTTCTTTGTTGGTTTGAGTGTCCCTCCCCCATGCTATAACCCCTGCTTTCACTGCATTTGATGTTGGTATAATTTGGGAAGGGGAAGGGAAAAAAACAAATCATTTAAATAGGGATACAGGTGGACCCATTGCAACAATGAGATGTACAAGTCGTTATGTCGAAAAACAAACTTTACAACTTTGGGGGGTAGAGTTCAGGAGGGGTGGGTGATAGGGGGGAGGCAACAATGCTTGATAAGAAATGTACACATTATCTTGCCCATGTAATTATAACCCCTCTGTATGGTATTTTCACAATAAAAAAGGAAAAAAGAAAGAAAAAACAGAGTTTTCTCTAGTTGCAAATAGTTTTCATAATTGGACTTTTGATGCACCAGGTAAAGAACAAAATCATAGAAGGATAGTAATTGTTTTGAAAATACTTTAAAATAGAAAGGAATGTTTAGAACAAGCTAATCACATCCTCTTAGCAGAAATTCAACATTCTGATAAGACCCATGCTTTAATTAGAAGCTGGCTGAAGCAAGAGAGCTCCCATGTAGATCTCTGGATGGCTGTAAGGAGGCCTGCGATGCCTGCAGCACACCTTTGATGTCAGGAATCACACTCTCAGGTACAGAACCATTGATCTGCAGTGAGGGGTCTCAGGAGACCTCATCAAGGTGAACACTCTAGTCCTCTAGAGTGGTCAGGCAAATTGCCCTGGCATAATGCTGAGAGGTAATTTTCTCTATCACAGTCCCTTCAAGGACTCACCAAAGCATTGTTCTAGAACAGCTCTAACTCCACGGTCCTTAGTTGTCTCTCTAGAGTTTTATATATTCTTCCTAATCTGCCTAAAAGCTGGACACACTCTAAAGCCCAGGACCCTCAAATTGCTTGTGTGAAATCACACACCTGCTCACGCAGGCACACAGGGAGGCGGGCCAGGGTCTGGTGGGGCAGTTGATGCCTTTTGTGGCTTAGCTGGCCCCTGATCTACCGCAATCACCTGCGCCAGCCATCCTGCCCATCCGGTAGAACTCCTGTCCAAAGTCCCGGGCCTGCAAGGGCCAACTGTGCTGCGTGAGCCCACACACCTCTCTCTGAAGCTCCACTTACCGGGGATGGGCCGAGCTTTAGGCTTCCTCAAGAGCTTTTCTTGCCTTCTTCCTGCCAAGCTCTTCATCCTTCTGCTGGCAGGTGCCCTCAATCCCAACCCTGGCATACTAAAGCAGTAGGCCCTAGGGCTGTCTGGACCCCAGAACCCACAGCGGCCTGCCTGTGGCTTCCCCGTGGTGAACACCACAAGCCCAGAGCAGCAGTGGCCAATAACAGTGTCCCTTTCTCTCAGACACGTCCTGTGCCCTGGCAGGGGCTGGAGGTGGCTGTGTCGGCTGTGCTGGTCCTCAGATCCAACTCCACACCAGCCCCTGGTGCCCTGGGCTGGAGAGGGGCTAGGCTGGGAAGATGACAGCCTGGGGCACTGCTTAAAGAAAAATAAATGTATTGCTTATACATGTATACATTCTATTTATTACACATTTAACTTCCTCTAGTTTACATTTTGGAATTGCATTATGAGTTTCCTTTAGGACAAATATGGATGGCATGCCATAATTTGCCAGAGTTATTGGTATCTGGCATGTTGGAACTTCACTATGTGAAATTATTTTTATTTTAAAAAATCGTGAGATTTTTATACATACTTTTACTGAGATATAGATGAGCATTCTAAAATTGATACTATCTAGAAGATACTTGGATTTGACTATTAAACATTTGAATTTTGCTGTTTTAGAATTGTACAGAATATTTGAAGAGGGTGCTTGTTATCTTTTGCAAACATTTTGGAAATGTTGTAAAGTCAGATTTTTCAAATGCAGGATAGAAACACATTCACAGATGGGAAAGGTGATAGAATTAGTCTTTTAAAATATACCTCTAAAGATACTGCATGTCATGCAAGCTGGAATGTGGCAACATTGAATGCTTTCCAAATTTTCATAGAAATGTATCAAATGTACCCCCAAAGGAATGCAGACTTCTGGTTTTCCTAGAGTGCAAGTATATCATATTCTTAAGCTCTTGAGCCTAGTTTTTGTCCATTTTTATTTTCAGCGTTGGTGCATGTCCAAGGCTTTCACTCAGGTCTTGAGTGCTGTGTCAGAGCTTTTCTGCTCTAACATTTGAGTCACCGTTGAAGGTTATCACACTCTGTACTTCTTTTATGTTACTGATTGAATCTTTACAGCCTTATAAATACTATAAAATGGGGCATCTCATAAAAGGAAAAAGTTCCTGACGATACTTGGGATTTAAAGGGTACAACCAAGATTTAAGATTGACAGTCCAGATCTCAAAAGACGTGTTTCTGGGAATCAAATATAGGTCTTTGCATATGCTAGGCAAGCACTGTATCACATTTCCCATTCCCACAAAGGCATCTTAAATCACATTAACAAAGTATAATACATTAGTAGTAGGCTTACATGTTTTGTTTTTCTTAGGTTTCTTAAGACCCCAGCATACCCCATGGCAGCATCTCCCTACACCACCAAGGATAGAGGACAGGCAGTTATAGCAGTTACAGGTGATGTAGACCCAGGGGAAAGTGTTGGCCAGCAGAACACCCCAGGAGAGACAAAATGGGGTCCTGGCTGCCATCTCTCTGTCACTCTCAGGTGAAGCTGGGCAGCCATGAACTACCTGGGCCAAATGGGTGAGCTGACACTGGGAGGAGGGGAAAGGCTGGGCTCCAGGGAGTAGGTACCATGAAAAAGCAGCTCAGGCCATGTACAGACTTGATACTTCACTTATCTAGGAGAGAGAAATGAAGGGAAGCTAAGCCAAAGCTTAGCTACTAGAGCTCTACACCATAGGTAGGAACCCCTACTTGGCTGGACAGTGACTGGGTGAGTGTCCACCACATGTAATGGGAGCTGTGGCAATACCTGTGAAAATTGATACCAAACCTGTGCCTCCTAAATCAGAGAAGGACAGCAAGGCAGGGAGCAAAGAGGACCAGGGAGAGGCAGGGACCCAGCAGGAATACAGGAGACTGACCCAGACCCCCACAGAGGGAGCCTGAGCGGGTGTCAGAGGGCTGTACCACCTCCATACCAGCACTCCAGAGGTTGATGCAGGGGGAAGTGTTTGAAGACTTCTTGGACTAAATAGAAAGCCATCCCTCTCTCAAAAAAAAAGACAAGCAAATAAATAATTCCACCATGCTATTCTGTTGATATACATTGTATTATATATTTCTCTTAGATTATGCATAGTGGATTGGCCATGGATCAGGGAAACCTGATAGTCCCTCCTCCTGAGCTGGGTTAGTACCTTGTGGAAGGCTGCAGTCTCCTATTTCTCTGGTGACATTTTTAAATGAATTTTGTGGTGCCTGTTCATCTCTGTGAGTGAATTCACTGATTTTTCTGTTCCTTTGTCTCTTGTCATCACTGGCCCAGAGATGTTCCCTTAACTCCTCAATGTCAGCAGGGTCCCTTTCCATGAAGTACTCCCTTGATTTCTAAATCTGATCCCCTCCCAGAGGCAACAAGGTATGTAGGGATAGTCAAAAACACCTCCTCCAACCTTGAGTGTCATTGATGTTCCCCCGGAAATATTGTTAAAGACACCCAAACATCAGATTTTGTTCCATGGTCTATGGGAGCAACTAGGATATCCAGTCCCAGAATTGCTTGCATCAGATCATGGCAGCAACCAGTTTACAAATTTGAACACTTGCTCTCTGCAGGGTGGCCATACCCTCCTTCATTAGAGAGGGAAAGGGTGGCATCATTCCCTACTTCTCCAAAAAGTTGACTGAACTGTGCATACTAAATGATTTTGAATTTCACATAAAGTGGAAGAGTGTCTTATTTACACTAGAGAAGAAAATAAAACCACAATGATTATGGTGGAAACGTTTTATTATAAATAACAAGTCTACATTTCCTATCTATAATATCTAAACATTTATGATATCTACACATTGCCCTACCCAGTCAGTAGCACTGTGCTTTCTGCTCCTTCTACAAATGCTAACTATAAACAATAAATAGATACAGTGCCAAATGCTTCCAAAAATTATATCCATGTGCTCTCTAATGCCCAGGATGCTTTATGCTTTTTCTGTATGGAGTGGCATGTTAACTTGGCAGGCCATTGATTGTCTGCCGTTGAGTAGTAAAGACTGAGTTCTAGAAGAGGCCTTCCCTCTATGGTGTCTGGAGCCCTAGGGTTTGTTGTGAGCCACACTCACTCACAGTCAGCCCTGACAGGAGACTCTTCAGTGAAGCCTACTAAAGGCTAGAATGACTAAAAGGCAGGCAGGCTTTCTCCTGGGTCCCTTGAAGTTTCTTGAAGTCTCTGGGCAGGATGATAGAATTGAAAGTCATATAAGCTTGGTAAGAGAGTGCTCTGCAGAATCCACAGGCAAATGTGGTAGTGACCTGCACTAGAGAAAGATGTCAGGTCAAGACTCATGAGCATTCCTCCACCCTCAACAGGAGTTGGCCCCTGAGGTACTTCCGGGAGTCCTGGATGATAGGACACTGTCCAATTTCAAGTGTAATTCTGACAGAAGGAGGAGACTGTGGATACGTGATTCTGAGTGTGACCTGGAGATGAGCAGAGTGGCAAGTACAGTGTGGCTTGGGGACTTGAGTTTGGAAGTACTTAGTTGGAGGCCAACCAGGGGAGACACCCACTAATGGTGTCCTGTGGTTTTTCCATCCTTTCTCTTCCTGTATGGTGGACCTGGCTCCTTGCTTGACTGTTGCTCCAGGAAGTAGGTCGACTTTTGCAGCATAAAATTATACTTCGCCATGCTGTTCATGGCATAGAAAAGATTAGCATCCCCAGGGATCCTCAGCTCTGGTGGAAGAAGGACAGAAAGCTAGTAAGCAGCACTGACAGACATGGAGACACAATTCCTTGAGAGCCTCCTCAGATTAGGTCTGACCCAGGGCCTTAAATTCCTCCAATCCAGATCCAGGAAGACCAATGCTACGACTCTTGCCTGGCAACAGACTCTGCTGACTGCTGAACTCTAGCCTGTCTTGCTCAGAAAATAACTTGGATGCCAGCTCATCCTGCAAGTGGCACAGGATATTCCTATCCTGCTCTCACTGCTGCCTGTGTTACCAAATCTGCAAGAAGAGCAGACATTCCAGAATGGAGATTCCCTGCTGGGAGCATTGTCCTACTGAGAACAAGGACTCCAAGGACCACAGAACAGCAAGCATTGACCCAAACCTTTTGCAATTGCTTCTGGGGTTCTCCCACACAGTGAGCTCAGCAGGTCCTGGCTTTGGGCTCTTATTTGAGATCAAGTGTTCTCTGTCCTGGAGTCTCCTGTCACTTAATCTGGGCTGGACTCAATTTCTGCCAACATGGTTGTTTCTCATTGTCATTCATTACCCTCCCCAGGCCTCTGTCTTACTATCCTGAAAGAAGGGACCTCATGCTGCTTTCATAGTAAGAATGCAGTAAGAAACATTTTATGACAGATCCTCTAGGAACTTGCAATCAATTCTGGCCATCTACACAAAGAGCCTGGTGGATTCCTCAGTTCATTATATAAACAGCACATTGGGTGTTTGTCCTTTGCAGCAGTGATACTTAAAAGACAATGTTAGAAATGAACTTTGCAACTTTGAAGGAGCAGGGGGAGGGGGAAAGTGGGAGAAAAATGAGGGATGGTAACCATATTCCACAAGAAATGTACTCATTACATATACAATTATAACCCTCTGTATATCACGTTGACAATAAAATTAAAAAGCAGCAGAGCAATGACACCATACATTTGCCTTTGTGGTCCATGTAAATATATTTCTTTTTCTGTCTTTCTGTTTCTCTTCAGTCTGTGTGTGTGTGTGTGTGTGTGTGTGTGTGTGTGTGTGTGTGTGTGTGTGTGTGACTGTGTCTGTCTGTCTGTCTGTCTGCCTGTCTGTCTCTGTCTCTGCCTCTATCTCTCATCTCTACTTAACCTCTTGTCTTCTCTCAACCTCCTTTAGAAGAACACACAGGAAAGAAGTTTTGAAACTTCCTCCTGGTCTCAGAAATCTTGCTCTGGGCTGCACATCTACTGGATTCTGCTTTTATTCCTCTGTGAATAACTGTGCTGACTCAGCTCCTTATTGCATGCTTTCATGTCATTTGCATGGATTTGTGTCATGGAGTTTGACATGCTCAAACTGGGTTTGGGAGTGGTTTGGAGAAAACGTTTTGAAAAGTCCTGGGAATAGATCAAGCATCTCATGGATGCTAGGCAAGCAGTTCTTCATGGAGCTACACCCCCAGTTTCAGATTCCTTCTGCTGTCTTCATTCCACAGTTTAGTCAGCAAAGTCTCTTCTAATGAGCAATCTGGCCACCCTGACTCATGGAGGCTGCCTTCTATCTACTCCTTACTCTCTTTGCACTGACCCTTCCCTTGATAGGCAGGGCAAGCATAGATATATCCACTAACTTGGGCAGTAACAAGATCTGAAGCATCTGATATTGGCTTGGAGCATTGTGTTAGGTACACAATGTCCACCACTAGATTGCTGCACCCCGACATCGGGCTGTGTGCATGCTGACTCCCTTATGCCATTACTCAGTGACTTACTTCTATCCTCTGATATGATCTGGACCAGCTCCAAGTGCTCTGGATTGTAACCATGCAAGAAATGTTTCTTCATGGCCTTCAGGATGATATCCCGGGTCTTCTCCTGGTTTGTCACCTGTTCAGAACAGGAGAGAAGACATCAGTGTAAAAGCCCGGTGTGCCTTCCCAGAGTTCAGTGGACAGGGATCCTCTGGATCAACCTCACACTAAGCACAGAAATCACACATGCTGTCATGGAGCATGTATCTATTCCTGAGAGTGATTTCCACATAAACAACAGTGGTACTTTCCCAACTATTCCTAGTTCTACCTGCTCCAAACTCCTTTTCAGTTATTTGCCCTTTAGGAATAATAACAAGATTGCCCATGGCAAAAGGAAACAACTTCCTCTTGTTCAATCCAATGGAAGGAGGGGGTTAGTGCAATGGCCAGTGCCTCCAAGCCAGACCTGCTCTGGGCTCAAGGATGCAGTGGTGGCACTTCTGTGACTCCCCTGAGGTTCAGAGCTCAGGAGAGAAAAAACACAGAGTCTCCCAGGTAGCTGTGAATGACGGCCATTCTAGCATCTGGCTAAGAGGGAACAGAACAATATGGGGTGTCATGGAATGCAACTCCAGCATGAGGAAGGAGAATCTATCAAGACCTCATTCCCAGTTGAGGACTTGGGGGAAGCCAGAGACCTCTCATGTGAGTACAGCCTGTTGCCTCCATGGTTAACACCATGCAGGTTCTGAGCACTGGATTCCCCCAAGGCCAGCAGCTTGCTAAGACCTCCTGTCTCCCAACCTAGATTTGAATGTGACTATCGCCTACTCAGCAGCCTTCTAACATCTGAGAAATAGGTGAATTTCTCTCCCAGCCAACTGATCACATCCACTGCTACCTTATTTGCTACAAAAAGTAGGGTCTTGGTCTGTTTTCACCGTACATTGTGAATGTTATAGTTTGGTTCTGCCCTAGACAATCCTGGATGTCATTTACATTAGTCCCATTTCTTCTCCTCAAAGCTACAGTTCCACTCCTGCCTGCAGGTTGTGTGCACTGCTCCCAACCCCCTTTCAGCTCAAGCCCTGAGCACTACATTTGTTCTGCACCATGGTCAGTTCTTCACCATTCACTACAAGGTCAAATTCAGGAAGGAATGGAAGGTAAATGGGAGTCTCACAGTTGGAGTACACCAAGAAGAATGCCATGTTTCCAACGTACCAGGATGCTTTTGTATACATTTCCTGTGTCCTCTTGTAGGCTCACCCTGATAACACAGGAGTCTCCTATCTGCTGGTTATACAAAGGCATGGTGGAGCTCTTGCTTCTAACCTCAGACACAGGGCTCTTCATATTGCCTCTGTTAGCCGCAGATTTGGTAGAGGCTGAGGGTGTGGAGGTGGTGATGGAAGACAAGGAGGTCTCTGAAATTCCTGGAGATGAGGGGGAGGCTGATTTCCAGACCTGTGGTGGACAGCAGCAATGTCAGGAGAAGCCAGGACATTTACAAGTGCTCCAGTGTGGCAGCCAGTAGAATTTTGGAACTGAATTTTGGGGGATCACGGTATGGATATAGAGAAGGCTGGCACTGGGAAGGAGGGGTACGGGAAGGGCCAAAGTCACCTTTTCCCGGAATTCAGAGGATTCTTTGTTGAGGCTCCTGTTGAGGTCTATGTGGGAGCTAGATGAGCCAGCCAGCTTCCTGTTATTGTGTGAGGTCACTTCCAGGATGTCCCCACTGCTGTTGTTAGGGCCACACTTGGCCTGATCCAGTGGTGTGGACTGGGAGCTTCCACTAGTATTGAGGTCAGTTTTCTGGGCCTGGCGGCTTTAGAGAAGGCCACAATTACTGGGAGGAACTCCACAAAGACACAAGAACCAATCCCTGGACACCAATACACTCGGTGATTGGTGCCCCATTCAAGGATCTTGGTCCATCACCAGCTACCTTCCTCCTTCCACAACTGAAGGCCCATAGAGACATGACAGTGGAGGAAGTGAGAATCAGAGAACAAGGACTCTCAGCCCAGGAACAGGGCTTTCCATGGAAAGGTATCACCTGAATATCTGGCTCCTGTCTCCCAGCCCAGCATGTTCCCTGGCCCCTGCCCCAAAATGCCCATGCACTTACTTCTTCCAGGCCTTGCCAATGCCAAAGCGCTTCTTGGTATTAAGGCTTTTGCTGTTATTCTGGGTCCGGGGCTCCAGTGCAAGAGACAGGTCATAACTAAGGAAAGGGATGGTTTGAGCTGACAGAATAGCATGCTTGGGCCCTTCCCAGTGTCTGCCTGAACTGTAGAACCTGGTATCAGTTGCTCACTAGGCCCCATAGAGTGTCACAGTGACACAGGTACAGACCTAGGCTCTAAGGACTCCATCCTAGGGACAACCCCACTCATGTTGCCCTATGGTTCCAGCTCACCTGGCCTTCTCGCTGAGCCGCTCTAGGCCCCTGAACCAGGTAAGAAAGTGTTGTTCTGGTGTGAAGGTATAATAATTGCAGGTGGACTGCAGCTGCCTCACCTGCTCCATCACATCGAATTCCTGGTGAGGACAGAAGAGGATGGAGACATGACTGGGCTGTGCTGGATGGGGAATGGATTTCTGCTCTCTGCAATGGGAGCCCCTCATCTTCCTCCCACCAGGTTCTCCTTGTTTGAACATGATTGCATACACAGTCAGTCTCTGGATGCTCTCCTCGGTCCCACCACAGACACCCAGCTTCCTGCTGGAGGTGCCTAGCCTCTCTACCAAAGGCCCACATAACTCGAGTGAATACACCTGATAATCCAACCCTGCTATGTGCATCTACCTGTGTGGGGAGTTGTAACTCACCTTTCTCAATTTCTGGAAATTAATTACTCCCTCCTAAAAGACAGACAGAAATGTGATTAGAAATGGCCCTCCTGGCTGCCTGGGCTCTTCTACCCCTGGAGGCAGGACACATATACAGGAACTGAGTGAGGGCAATTTGCAGACAGGGACTTTCTTCTCCTTAGACCTTCCCTAGGGACTGAAGTTCTGAGACCCAATTGTCTAAATCTTGTGAGGGACTTGGGTTTCAGGTCAAAGGCTTTGCTAGACCACATTCTGCATGTCTTTCAACCTTGGCTATACTCTCTTTTCCCCAGCTAGTCTTGATGAATTTGCTTTTCCAGCTGAGTATCTGCCTGTCTCAGGCAGCTCTGAAAGTCACAGACAAAAATGGGTGCAGTGTTCCGCTCAGAGAGATGGAAGGCTCTCAAGAATGCTAGACCTAAGAACTCAATAGGGGGACTTTTTCTCCTGGACCCAGGCCGCCAACTGTGCCCTGGCTACTCACATCCAGGAAGTCCTGAAAGGCAGTGTCAATCATCATGAGGTCCTTTAGGATAATTCCTAGGTAGGGAATAGTGCCCTTGACTAGCACCTGTAAGATTGGTAGGGATGGTAAGTTAGGCCCATGGATCCTCTCCCAAGAGGTGCTCAGCCATCCCAGGCCCCACAGGGGCTTCGTTATTAGAGTATGCTGGGGATCATATGGCAGTTCTGTGTTGAGCTTCTCGGTGGCAGTTGGAACTCCAAACCGCATCTGCATCAGGGTATGTCCCATACTGGCATTAAAGAACCCCAGCTGGTGTAGCCTGTGCCACCCAGCTTCTCTATAGCCCTGGTTCTGGTGGGTCCAGCACCTCTTCCACAGTGAAAACAGGGCCAGAATGCTGAAGACATGAGCCCATTTCTCAGAGTGCATATAGAGGAGTGGGGGAAAGGTAAAAAGATCTCCAGGGGAACTCTCTTCTCTTACACAGCTGGGGCCTTGGGCACCGTTACTCACCAACTCCTTTGACAGCCGCAGACCTCTCTTGGCCTTCTTCTCCTTGGTGGAAACTATGGAAGTGTCCTGCCATGATTGGGAGTGGAGTCAGAGAGGTCTTTCTCCTATCCGCAATCATCCAAGATCATGAGCATAGTGTTCCCTGGTCATCTGTGACAAAGGGCCCACCACCTGGCAGGCTGATTCTAGCTCAGTCTCTACCTGAGTTCCACTAATATGGGATCCCAAGTGAGAAACCTGGCCTCACTGTGACTGTTTCCTCTTCTGCAAGGTGTGCCTCAGGGGGCTGGGAGTACTCAGTATCTTCCCCCACCAGTGGTGCTGTCCTGATTAGCACCTGGACCAAGGCCTTTTCTGAACTCCTGACATCCCTTTCTGCCCTGGACCTCATCTTCTCTTGTGAAATAAACTGAAAGCTCTTCATAGCTTTATATGCCTGATGAAAATAGTGAAATGCATAGAGGGCTGGAAACTTGTCCAGTGCCCTGTAGCTATACAAGGGGAAGAATCCTTCGGCCTCATCAGGCTATTGACTAGGGTCTTGTGCTCCAGCCCTTTGGTGTGTGCCAGGGTGCCTAGAGTAATTGAGGCTCAAAGAGAGAAGAAGACTGAAGCTTTCTGCCTGGCCCAGGTGACGAATTCTCTGTCTTTGCACTGGGCCCAAGTCTAAAACCATTTTTTTTCTAACCCCACAAATCCTCTACTATTCTCCCATGGAAGTCAATTCTATTATTATACTTGAATTGGAGCCTTTGTCAGGGTCCCTGATGTGGACAATTATGAACTGTGACTGAGGAAGTGAATCTTGCTTCCTTGTTACAAAAGTAGCTGCTAGAGAGTTTAGGAAAGACACTCAATGAGGTGACCATTCCCTTTTAATTTTTAAATCAGCTAGGCTTTCCACAGATCCACCTGTGTAGTACCTACCACAGCTTTTCTGTGTTCAGCAGCAGCTACTGCTCTAGGGAGCCAACACAGTGCCTCCCATGTTACATCCTGAGCGTGGATGTTTTGGCTCTAACCCAATGACTTCCATGTCCATTTGGCCCAGAGCAGCACTGAGAACCCCAGCGGCACAGCATAGCAGGAATCTCCCCAATGAAGTCCAGCCTACATTGACAACAGCAGAAGCCAGGGCTCCTGGGGACTGGTGGGACCTGTGTCTTGGCAAACGGACTCAACCACTCAATTAACACAGTCTAACAATATATAATCCCAGTAGGAAGAAAGACACCCCAATCCTGGGTTCAAGTGTCTTCCAGAGATACCCTATCTTCCTGCAGTACAACTATTGTGAGAGGCCTCTGATCACTGTCCAAGCAGCCTCCTCTCTCTTTAGTTCAGATGACACAGAATTGAAAAATTTCAAAACACAGAGAGATAACAACACATACTTGTCCTCTCCTCATCCACCTCCCCTTACCTTGAATAGCAGTTCTCTGCACCTGGTATGGTTATTATCTGGAGCAATTATCTCTGACAGTTTGTGAAATCTTTGGAAGCTATCCCTACAGGAGGAGACAAGAGAAAGGGACAGTTGAAAAGATGGGGGATGAGAGAGTGGATGTCCATTTTGTTTTAAAACCAAGACTTCCAACTGCCTGGACAAGAGTGTTAGAATACATCTTTTGAATCTTATGGACACATAGGCTTGGAGAAAGTTTTTCATCCTGGCAAAAATCGGGTGCTACTTCTTTACCAAAATGTAGCTCTGGTTTGATTTCAAAAAAAGCAAATCAGTGGCAATCCAAGAAACCTAGCTACCTCCTGTGTGTCTCCAGGTTTAGATAGACAGGGAGCTGGTCCCTGCCAAAGACAGAGCAAAGTGAGTCTCACAGCCAAGGAGCCCATGATCTGTCGTTGAGGCCCCAGATCTTAGTTTGGGTGATGCCAGCCTTTGTGCCGGCACAGCTCCTGCAGAGAGAGGACCCACCTGGAAACCATTTCCCAGGTCCTCTTCAGGCGGTGGATGGAAGAACTTTGCAGTGCAGAGATGATGGCAAACATGGAGGAGAAGTTCCTCAGCACTAGGCACTCCTGGGGAGAAAGACTGTGTGAGATGTGGATGATTCTAACACCAGATTTTACCATGGTTGCTGGTTTAGCCTCTCATACTTAGGTTTCGGGAGAGATCAGGGAGTACAGCAGGGAGTATGGGACAAGTAGGCAAGATTTTACATGGCCCAAGATATGGGCAAGCACAGAGACAGTGAGTGGCCTGCTAGAGGAAAGATTTTCTGTGGGGAAGAGGGACTCAATCCACACAGGTCTCTGAACACAGTCAAATCCTGAGGATAAGAGGTATCATACCCAGGCCACCTTGATCCACTGGTGCACCAGAAGAGCTCTGTCTGGGGCCCTTATGCTGTGATCCCCAAGACAGCTTGTGATTACACAGGAGGACACGCTGTTGAAGTGTGTGATGTTGGCCCAGACGGTTGGGGCTAAGTGCTCCTTGACCTTCTTGTCACTCTTGGACCAGATAGAGCCCAAGCATTGGTAGGGCACTACCTTTTTGAATAGTTCCTGGGGAAGAGAACGGTGTCACCTGGCTTTGTCATAGATTGAAATGCCAGGTGCAGGCTAGGATGACTCTAGTAGGAGATGGAGCTAGGGAAGTGCACATGGTGACCTGAGCCTGTGAGAAGCTCTGGGTCTGGTGTGCTGACCACCTAGTATACCCAACACCTGAGTGTCATAGAAGGAAACAGGTGGGAAAGTGAGAGTTGTATTTTCTCTATCTAATCCCAGTCTATCCACTTGAAATTAGCTCTGTCTGCATGGCCTTGGCCAGCAGGGTCTGCCCTCACATAGCCACTTCAAGCCTGTCTCCTGGTGAACATGCAATGTCTACCTTTAAGGCCAGTCTTGTCTTCCCTAACCTCTGATAAAATAGGAGCCTAAAATGTCCTCATGCTGGAGAGGGTTCCTGGAATGAGGATGAGCTATAGGCCTGGCTGCCCCTGGGAGGGGAGTGGGTCTCATCACTTCTTTTATGTTTCCATGTCAGAAATTTGCTTTGGCATAGTCAGATATTGTGGAGCTGAGATTTAGACAAGGTCGTGGCCCCGGGAAGAAGCAGCTACAGAACAGGCAGCAGAATAGAGCAGGTACCCCATCCTCCCTTCATCCCTGCCTAGGACCTCACCACATCCATCATGGTGAGTTGCTTGGCCACCAGATCAGGAGGAAAAGCCAAGAAATCCAGCTTCTCCTTGTTCATCCAGTTCTGTGAGGTTCCACAAGAAAGATTTGAAGGGTCTCCTGAGGAACCTGATGCCTCCTCAGGCTCTGAATCAATGGAACCTGGGACTGCTGTGCCCAGCTCTGGAAGAGGTTCCGCATAGGGCTTAGGCTCTTGACCCACAACAGGATCTGGCTCCAGCTCAAGAGCAGGTGCTGGAGCTGACTCTTGTTCCAGCTTTATACATGGTATTGGTTCTGCTGCTGAGGTTGGCATCAGAGCCACAGACTCTAGGTTGCAGCTAGCTGATGATGGTTCTCCTGCTGAACTGGGCACCAGAGCCACAGGTGGAGTTGGCTCCAGCTGTGAAGCTGAGGCCAATTCTCCTGCTGGGCTTTCCACACAAACTGAGGCTTGTGCTAAATCTGAATTGGGCTCCCACTCAGAACTAGAGCCTTTCACTCCCACTGGGACAGGCACCAGAGGCACAGATGGAGCTAGCTGGCTCTCTGAATATGACACTGGTTTTCCTGTTAGGCAGGGAACCACAGCTGCAGGTTGGGTTGGCGTCAACTCTTCGTAAGGATTTTGGGCTGGTGAAACACCTGGAAGAGGACATAAGATTCTTCATATTACCGCAATGCTCTAAGTGTTTTCAAAGATAGAGAAGACACCCTCTGCCCCAAAATTTCCAGCTCCTCACTTTCAATAAGACACCTTCTAAAATGCCTCCTACCCACTGTGTCTTTGAGGTTCCTTCTTGCTTCTAATCCTATGCCACACTTAACTATGCCTCCCAGTGTGGCCCTGCCCCGACTCCCCTTCTCCCCTCCCTGTTCCCACCCCTGGATTCTCACCCTCAGACTCAGCCTTGCTGGGCTCCAGGGCCTCCATCTGGCCCAGGAGAGTGTTGACACGAGATATCACGTCAGAACCAGGCATGTACGACTGCAGGTAAGCCATTAGTTTCTTGAAGCATGAACTTTGCAGAGGTTGGCAGAAATCCTCTGAGTACAGATCCAGCCAGGTGCCCAAGATGGAGGAGATGGCACTGGGAGGAGAAAAGGTGTGCAGCTGAATCGGAGGCCTGGCCTCTCCTTCTTCCCAGTGAATTCCCTGAGCACCAATGGGACAGGGATTAGGGCCAGTCCCTATCCATCCAGTGTTTAGTGGACCCTACCCCAAGCCACTCTGGCTGGCAAGGCGGGGCAGACCAGGTTAGCCAGGCCAGAGCTGCAGAGAATACCCAAGCATGGATCCCATGATCAGTACTCTGAGCAGCTCTCTTGTTTTCACCAAGTACCACAGCCTCTAATCTCTCTCTCCCCACTAAAATAGTCTCCAAATGGCTTGTCCCATGTGGCATACACAGGATCCTGATAGCACCACAGCTGATGCACTGCTGCCTCATTATCCGTACCACATGTAATGCGTCATTCTCCTGAAGATACAGCCTGACCCAGGCTCTCACTGAGGGTTCAATGCCCAGCAACAAGGCCTCCACACTTTTTTGTGTCACCTGATTAATGATGGGCTAGCCTGGCTGGAATATACTATAGGGAAGATGGATCCTTCCAGGGGTTTCTTATGAGCCCTAGGCATCCCTGGTGCTCAGATTCTCATGTCTTTCTCCTAAAGCAAATCCTTTCACCTCAATGCTCCAGTACAACATTGGTTGGAAGAAAGACAGCTGGTGATGGAAAAAAATTGGCTATCCACTGGCAGAACACTGAAACTAGAGCCTTTACACATCAGTTTGCACCAGAATCTATTCAAAACGGATCAAAGATCACATCAGACAGAAACCATGAAAACATTTCAGGAAAGGGGAGTGGAAACACGAGAGCTCCTAGACCCAGGTCAGCCTTTCTCAGTAAAGATCCAGAATCAGAAGAAATCAAAGACTTATATAACAAGTTAAAAAAGGGCTTGAACAAGGGATTAATATCCAAGTACACTTAACAGCTCACAATATTAAACCTCATGAAATAAACCTTCAAAAATAAACCACCAAATTAATTAATGGGCTAATGAGTTAAAGAGAGAATTCTCAGAAGATGATGTAAAAATGGCCAATGGACACATGAAGAAATGTTCAGCATGTCTGGCCATAAAGGAAATGCAAGTCAAACCAACAGTGAGATTCTACCTCATGTCAATTAGAATGGCCAAAAATAAGAAAACTAACAATAACAAATCCTGGCATGAATATGGACAAAAGGGATCTCTATTATACTGTTGGTGAGATGGTAAGCTTGTTTGTCCACTCTAGAAAGCAGTATGGAATTTCCTCAAAAATGTAACATAGTGCTACACAATGACCCAGAAATAATTCTCTTGGGCAATCATTTAATAGAAGAGAAAACAGGGGCTGGGAAGGTGGCTCAGTGGTAGAGCGCTTGCCTTGAATGCCTGAGGCCCTAGGTTAGATTCCTCAACACCACATAAGCAAAAAGAAAAAAGCTGGAAGTGGTACTGTGGCTCAAGTGGTAGAGCGCTAGCCTTGAGCTGAAGAGCTGAGGGACAGCACCCAGGCCCAGAGTTCAGGCCCCACAACCAGATAAAAAAAAAAAAAGAAGAAGAGAAAACAGTCACACTAAAGCTACCAGCACAAACATGTTTGTTACAGTATTATTTACTGTAGCCAATATATGGAATCAGCCCTGATGCCCTTCCATGAATCACTAGATCAAGAAAATATGGTATATATACATATTGGAATCCTATGCATCCATCAGCAGGAATGATATTGTACCATGGGAAGATTTGGAAAAGGATGTATTAAGTCAGATCCAGAAAACAAAGTTTGTATGGCCTCCCTCCTTTGAGGTAACTAGAATGTGCCTATGAATCTACAGATAAACGTACTGCATGGTAAGCAAAGGTAACCAATGAGTTAACTGAAGTTTGATGGAATCTATGGAGAGCAAAGATTGCATAATTCTGTAAAAAGTCTAAGTCAAACCCGACAAAATCAATATCAGCAACTGGGTACTTGCAAGAGGACAGAGTGGGGACAAGTGGGGAGCAGTTGAAGAATGAATGGGGGAAATGGAGAGAATGCAGGCAAAAATTCATTGTACATTTCTCAGAATTGATAAAAAATACGTAATCTAGAGTCAAGATAAGTAAGGGAAGGGGTGGGTTGGGAATGGTGTATGAGAATGCTGAAAGAGGTGACATTGATCAGGATACAGTGTATTCATTAACTGTTTTGGTGAATGACAGCTCCTTTCTACAACTGTGTACAATCATAAAATGTTTCAAAAAAAAAAAAAAAGAATCGCAAGAGTTTGGGACTCCACTGTTTGTCTTTTCTATTAAGGACACAAATGTCCTCACTCTGGAGATAGATGTTTCCAGCCCTTTGACCTAAGGCCCACTCACTTTCTGAGCTGGTCTTGTGGGATGATCTTCTCAGAGGAATAGGGAAGGATTTCACCATCTCTATAGGAGTCCAAGAGGGCTTCACACCTGTGGAACCTGTTTAGAATGTTCAGTTTTACTGGCCATCAACCCATGTCTTGGATTTCAAGACAGAAAGGATTTACTTGCTCTTCTCACTCAACTATAATCAGTGTTTGGAAATCTGCGCTTCTAATGTAACTGGATCTTATCTATTTGTAATATGGAAGAGGCTAACCAGCTTCTTCTCAGATAGTTCAGTGTGCCAGGATGTCTATGTACTGGTTAGAGGCACCCCTCTCAGATATAATGTGAAGTCCCCTTTTTAAAACGGAAGCTGCTTTTCCTGAGGCCTTGGGTATGTGCTGCAGGAGGACAGAGCTGCTTTCTAAGGAAAACAGGTCACAAGGAAGAGGCTCCAGTTCTAGGCAGCCTGCTCCCCAGAGACAGGGTGGGTGAGCACTGCCAAGGCTCAAACCATATCGCCCTGCCAGGAGACAAAGACAGTGATTTAGGCAGTACTTCCCAGGATCAAACTAGGGGTCAGAGTTTCAGGCCATTCCCCAGGTTCCACTTAGTGGTAAGGAGACCCCTGATCTTGAACTAGGTGCTCACCTTATGAACAGCAGGTCCAGCACCTGCTGGGCATTGGTAAACCTTCTGTAGCTGGACAGAAAGGTGGGGATGAAGAAGGGCTCCCCTGTCAGCTGGGCAGGCACCAAGTGGTCCACCAGCTCTTCCAGTGTGCCTGCACTAAGTGTCTCTGCCCACTGGGGCTCACCCATTGTCATTTGATTTTCATCCTAGAAGGGGACCAAGGAAGGTCAACTCAAATACTAAAGGTGACAAACTTTAACACTCATTTCCAGAGTATAGAGATACAACCTAGAAAAAGGGTTGTCTCACACACACACACACACACACACACACACACACACACACACACACACAGAGACAGAGAGAGAGAGAGAAAGTTGGTGATGATCAGGGATTGGCTGGCTATCCTTTAACTGACACTCTATCAGCTTTGTGATCACCTGGGAAAATCTCTCAGGATTATTGGGTTTAGGGGTAACCCAGCGTCGCCAGACATGGGTGAAGCCCCCTCTTTGGTCTTCCATTACGCATGAGCCAAAACAACTTGGGAGACAACAAACAGCAGGATATATCTTGCTTTCTCCACAGTCTCAGCACCAGTGAACTGGCTGGGGCTGTTGTGGATTCTGGCTACCTAGGCAACAGGGTTCTGAGTTCTACCTGATCCTTCATCAAGGAAGTGAGGTCATCTCCTCTACAGGTACCTTCACCTGAGTCGTACCCTCACATAAGACATTCTCAAAGGTGCCCTGTGTACAAACACTTGCCAAGAAGGGCACAAATACAGCTGTACACAATTCTACCCACTCACCCCAGTCAACTGTCCCTGGGCTTGCCTGGGAGGACACTGCTGTGTTCAATCTGCCCCAACTATCAAAGAGATGTGGCACTGGAGGCAAAACTGTTTCCCTCACCATCTCTCCTATATCCCTACTTGTTCAAGGAGTCCCTCCAGTTTATGCTTCCTAGAATGTCATCATGTGGACATGCTCGTAGGTGTCTGAATGTTTTTTTTTAATTGTAAACATGTTGTACAGATGGTTACAGTAACATGAGTAAGGTAATGAGTACATTTCCTATCAAGCATTGTTATCCTCTCCTTTGTTTTTCCTGTTCTATCCCTTCCCTCCCCAATTCCTCCCCCGACCCTGCCAGCCGAGGTTATAAAGTTTGTTTTCCACATAGTGTCTTGCATGTCTCATTGTTACTGAATGTCCTTGGATAAGTAAAATCACTCATTGCTAGTGCACTTAGATAATGACAAGACATGGAAAGACAAGGAACACAACACAGAAGTGGCAGTGTTGGAGAGGCATGGCATGCCAGCACTGATTGGGAGGCAGAGGCAGCTGCTGATCTGGGCATCAGAACAGTGTTTGTTACTCCCTAAGGTTCTCATAGATTGGTAGCGAATCCATCTAGACGTGGCCTTTTTGGTTTTGACAACTCTTCATTACTACATCCATCTAATTGTTGAAGTGACTATTTCCTCTTGGTACATTTTAGGAAGGTCAAAATAAAAGGTAGATCTAGGAACGTATTCATTTCCTGGCATTTGATTTTAAGCATAACTATTTCCTCCTGATTCTTTGGTTTTCATTGAAATTTATTGTGGTATTTCCTTTTTTAATTTTAATATTAATTTGAGTCACGATTCTTCTTTTTGACAAATGCTACTGGGTTACAAAGCTTATTTTTCAAAATTTGTTTCATCAAGACTTTGCACAGTTTTTTCAGTATTCATTTGATTCCTCCTCTTCACTAGTTGTTTATATTTGTTCATTTTGCATTTTTATTCTTTTCTCACTTTTAGGTTTATCATTAACCTTTTTGTGATCTCACTTTCTCTTCTCATACTCCTGATTTTTTTTTCTCTCCAATGTACATACATGCAGCTATACTAAGTTTCTTCCCTTACTGGCACTCTTGCTGTATCCCAAACATTCTGACATGCAGTCTAATTCATTTCGACTAGCTTGTAGGATTATTCTGATTCTCCCTTTTCTTCTTCAGTCACTGTGAATAAGTACTAGGGCCTACCCAGGTCTTGGCAAAGCCTGGTCCCTGCAGTGTCTTGTGAGCAAGGTGAGGTGAGGGACTGAGGATCTGGTAGGTCTCAGGATAGCCTGGGGCCAGGGAAGTCTTTAGCTGTAGGCTGCTTGAATCTCATTGAGGCATGAGGCAAGGGGCTAAGAGTACACCAGGGTCTCAGGACAGCTTGTAACTAGGGACTGAGTGCTGAGGTGGTCTCAGGGAAGCCCAGGTTAAGGGTACAAGTGCCTGCTGGGATCTCCAGGAAGCCCTGGAGAACAGGATAATAGTCAATAAGGGTCTCAGGGAAAACCTGGGTAAAGGACTGGGGACAGATCTTAAAATAGCTGGGCTGAGCAGCTGAGGGCCAAGAAAGGTCTCCAGACACACGAGGATGAGTAGTTGAGGAACCACCTGCTTCTCAGGGCAACCTGGAGCCAAGAGCTGGCCGAGGTCTCAGGGAAGCCCTTGATGAGTGGCCAGGTAAGTCTCCCAGGACTGCAGGACCAGAAGTTGAGGATTGGCCAGGGCCAGGGCCTAGGTTGTGTCCCAGATCCAGAGGATCCTACGGCTCATGGTTCTGAGCATGCATAGACCACAAGAGGGAGTTGCACCAGGGGCTGGACCTGATTTGGCAGCTCAAGCCATTGCAGGGCCCACCTGTAGTTTGTGTCCTGGCTCCCATTCATGCCCACAGATCTCACCTCAGCTGCAGAATGCCATTCCAACTGCTGCTGTGTGCCGCCACCTGCCACCTGCCACGGCCTGCCCTTGCCTGCCTACCACAGTTCACCAAAAGAAACAGACACACTGAAAGAGAAAGAGTTCCATGAGTGAGACACATCCTGACTGTTTATCCACCTGACCATACCAGTTACGGTGTGAAGAATGCTTCAAACCTCTTCTGCTTTCATGAAGGGAATGCATATTGCAAAGTGTTCCTTGTGAATATTCTATGACCAGCTGAATTGAAAATGAAGGCAGATGCATTTGTAATTACATCGTTCAATTTGCTTATTATTTTTTGAAAATGTGTTTCTGAATTTAGTGTGTTTTCTCATATAATTGAGAGAAAATTTTCATTGTGCTAGTTAAGTTCTAAATCTTGATCTTGAGCAACTCTTTTTTTATTTTTTTATTTTTATTTTTTATGAGCAACTCTTTTTTTTAGAGTTAAATAGATGTTTAATACAGAGCTTATTTTCTTATACAGTTCTAACGTGTAAGTTAAATTGTTTATATGAAACTTGCCAGAAAATAAACACAACATTTCAATATTTTAATCCAGCAAATACATGGGGAGAGGGGACATTAGTTAAAACTACAATGTACACATAATCTGCTTCTTGGTCTAGATCATTTGTGACACTTTTCTCCTTGATGAATAAAGAGTCTGAGAGTAAAGCTAAGACACTGCTAAGGGCTCATTCTTTAAGGGAGTGATTCCTATATATATAGTCTTTCAATGACACAAAAACCTTGTTGAAACAACTCTGCATTTTCTGCAATGGCAGAGAGAAAAGGGCTGTGATATTAGGAATGATGACATAAGATTATCTCCCAAACAAATCTGGCCCATTGAAAGGTATACATCCTAGTTATAAGTGAAGGACATTGAATCAGAAAGACTCAAGTAAGGAGGAAAAGATGTTTCAAGAGGCACAGAGGGGCACAGATGCATGAAACACACACCAGGACCAGGGACAGTACACAGAAATGTCAAAGGGGGTAAAAAGGCTTAAGAGCTGGATCAGCATAGAGTCATAGGTTCTGAACATTTTGTAAAGGATTGAAATATGGATAGACTTCACGGGTAAAGGCACAGTTAGTGGACTTGTAGATGAGAAATGCATTGTACGTAGTGCTGTAAAATGAGACTGAGCCAGCCTGGTAGTCTACAAAAACCCCAACATGTTCAAGAGCGATAGGCAAAGACAGGGGCAAGGACAAAGGAGAATGGGTGGTAGGACCCTCCCTGAAAGCTTTATATTCAGATTTATTCTCCATCCCTATAATCCAGTAACCAATTTTTGGTAGAGGAACTTCATAAATAGTATGATCATGACTTGGCCTGCGTCAGAAGTGTCTTCCATCACTTAACCCCAGGTGCCAGGATGTTTTCTTAGACACACTTACCTCCCAGTAGTGCTTCCCTGATGTGATTATGAGGGCACCTAGGACTCCTAGGAGAGGTAAATTATTTCCTGGCAATTGAAATGCATTTTGTGAAAAGCCTAAAACTTGGTTATGAACATTCTGAGCGGGGAAATAATGGTCTCTAGAAACTGAAAAAGATTCTGTGAAAAAGACAGGAGTATACTGGTATCTTATTTTTCTTTGATCCTTAGAAATGTCAATTCTCGAATCGTCATTTGTAGTCACTCTCATATGCACCCAGTATTGGCGGGCATCAGTCAGCTCTTGAAACCCTTGTAGCCTTTCTCTCAGACCAGTTATTGGGAACACTGTCTGTGCTTTCTTGGGGAAAGGTATTGCTTTCTTCATTGTCAAGAGCTTACATCTTCTCATGATGGTATTCACATCCTGCAGCATCTCCATTGTGGACCCTTCTAACAGATGCTCCACATCTGAAATGAGCTCAGTCACCCACTCATTCTGCTGGATCAGCTCATTTTCTGACACTGCCAGGGTTTGCAAACCATCTTCCTCCTCCCTTTTCAGCTTTTGCAGTACTTTCTCCTCCTCAGTGTCCAGGATGCCTCTCCACTGTGTAAAAATCAGCCTGAACATTTTGTATCTTGCCTTGTATTTGAGTCTGCCAAGAAATTTGTCTTGTTGGAGTTCAGCATTCCACTTCTCAGATTCTTCCTTGTTCTTCCTCAGCTTGTCCAGAGCTGCCCAGAGTTTGTTCTGTGAATAAGGAAGGAACCACGGCAGAGTCACTCTCTGAACTTTCTCAGCTTCTCCTCAAGGGATAACATGGAAGAAATCAGGAAGAGTCAAGTTTACAGAAAGGATGAGCACTGTAACTAACTTCTAGCAGTTGGAAGAAAACTTATGAGCAACTCTTAAACCTTAGTTTTACCTTTCTAATGTGAGTGATTAGGACACTTGATTAGGCAGCTTTAAGAAGTCATATTGATTTTTAGAGTTTTAATTAAAAAAAATGTTAAGTGTGCATATTGAAAATGTTAGGCCATCTGTGAGAAAAGCAAATAATTTTACACCATGATGACAATTTTTATGTATTACAATAAAATTACTTTGACATGTTTACACACATACTTGTGCACAAAATTTTAAGGCACCTTTAAGTTTTTTAGAAAAAATAAAAATTGGCCATACGTTTCCTGGAATTCCAGTGGCAAAATATGTTAATGCCTATTGCATGATAGAACCGCATGGTTTATGCTAAAAATGAAAAGCAACACCAATGTACAGCACATATTTTTAAAACAATTTTGGGAATGAGACATATTAGCATATAAATTGACCTTTAAAGTAAGCTTGGTGGAAGAGTGGGGGTCATGTGAAAACCTACCATGTGGCCTTTGTCTCTTCCTAGGCAGTTATGGATCTCCAGGGCCTGTAGAGAACTGGGGGAGAGAAGAGTTCCTCCAAGGGGCCTGTAGCAAGCTCCTAGAGGAGTTTTGCCTGAAGGAAGAAATTAAGCATCCAGGGCTAGGAAGGTGGCTCAGTGGTAGAGCGCTTGCCTTGCATGCCTGAGGCCCTGGGTTCAATTCCTCAGCACCACATAAGCAAAAAGAAAAAAGCTGGAAGTGGCGCTGTGGCTCAAGTGGTAGAGCACTAGCCTTGAGCTGAAGAGCTGAGGGACAGCGCCCAGGCCCAGAGTTCAGGCCCCACAACTGGACCAAAAAAAAAAACAAAAAACAGAAATTAAGCATCCCCAAGAAAATGTGGTATATATACACAATGGAATTCTATGCCTCCATCAGAAAGAATGACATTTCCCCATTTGTTAGGAAATGGAAAGGCTTGGAAAAAATTATATTAAGTGAAGTAAGCCAGGCCCAAAGAAACATAGGTCCCATGGTTTCCCTTATATGCAATATCTAGTATATGTATGAGTAAAGCGGAAAAGGTCAGATAATGTGATGTTAGGAAAACGATCCCTTAAATATGTATTTTAATGTTTTTTTTTCTTTCATGCATGAGTTTCTAACGCATTTATAAGATTATTTCTTTGTTGCTTTGTATGTCCCTCCCCCACAGTGTAACCCCCGCTTTCACTATATTTGATGTCAGTATAACTTGTGGAGGAGATGGGGACAATCAAGTCGTTTAAGGATTCAGGTGGACTTGTTGCAACAATGAGAAGTACAAAATGTCATGTCAAAAACGAGCTTTACAATGTCGGTGTGGGGGGGGGAAGGATTGGGTGGGGGGGAGAGGGGAGGCTGGGAAGGGAGGTGAAGGGTAAACAAAGGAGGAGGCTGCAATGCTTGATAAAAAATGTATGCATTATCCTGCCCATGAAATTGTAACCCCTCTGTACAGTATGTTCTCAAATAAAATAAAATTAAATTAAAAAAACAAAAAAGAAATTAAGCATCCAGATTCTGAAGTGAGTAGACCCAGGAAAGATAAAGGACTGGTTTATTTTAGGTATGACACATAACTGCTCCCCTTATGGGATTTTTGGGTGAGAAAAGGAGAAAGAAGTAAAAAGGAGAAGCTGGCTTCGATGTGTTTGCTGGCCAGGGACTGTCAGTAATGGAGTTCAAGCAGGGCCATTAGCTTGTTGCAGGGACCACATTTAAAGCCACAGTTGCTTTACCTTTTGAGGCTTGCAACCACCCCACCTTGGGCCAGCCATACAGCAGGTACAGGGGGAGGCACAAGTCACTTACAGCAAAGTTTAATGTCAGAAAGCTAACAAGCTGAACCTCTCAGGTAGGGATGGCTTAAAGAGGACAGTCAGTTTGCTGACTGCAAAGGGGAAGAATGTAGTTACTGGACCAAAAGTGGAAAAAGGTGAGTGGTGGAGAGACAGATAATTTTAGCTAAGAAAATAGTAAGCCAGAATGGCTAACCTTGATAGGGAACCTTGGGGGGGGGGGGGGTCCTGTGACCCTGTCCATGTCTCAACTCTCAAGGGCACAAGCACAGAGGCAGAGAGAGAGGTAAACCTTGTACTTAGATGATTTCCTTCCATTTGTCTGAGTGCTTGCAGAAATTATATAGGACCCATAAAGTATCAGGGTCCAGTGTCCCATGAAAAGGCCAGGAATACTCATTGTCCAGTGAATATTGGGGCTCAGAATTAATTAAGTAAGAATCTAAGCTCATGAGGCTTAACATCAGGCAAAAGCTTAAGGGCCTCTAGTTTGTGTAAAGGCAGCCCAGAGAGGAATCCTGAGGAATTCGGGATTGGGCCCCTCCCATGGTGAGTGGGACTCTGGTCAACTAACAGAGAGAGCAGGCAGCAAGAAGAGTCATCACCCACAATTGCTACATCCTGACCACAAAGGGATGCAACAAGAGGGGCCAGTCCCATGCAATTGTTAGTTCACCTGGCCTATACCAACCTTCTAGAGGCCTAAGCCTCCGAGGAAGGGCTCAGAACTCAATACCAGGCTTTCACCCTTGTGAACTCCAATCCCTGACACTGAATGGTCACTCACCCAGAAAAAATGCCAGATTGGTCACTGATGGATGTAGACAAAGCGCTGGTCAGGAGGAAATCACCTCAGTGGTCCTTTGGGTGGACCTGATATTGCCACCAGTTCCCTTCGGCTGCTCAAATTTCCTGAGGGGAAGAGCAAGGACCACTGGGGGATCCTAGATCTGACTGACAGCACCGATGGACACCTCAGCCCAGAAGACCATGTGGATACCAAGTCATGAACAACAAACTTCACTGTCATCAAGCTGACAAGCTGACCCTCTCAGGGACAGCAGCCTGTCTTTGTGTAAGGTTGCCTTCTAGGGCCAGGGGCCTGGAAGCAGGGAATGCTTTGTGGTCTGGTTTGTGAGTGGTGGAGTATGTGAGGTAGATGAAGGCAAGGAATTCCATTATGTTGGGGCTACAAATTATGGTTGCAGCTGAATGCTGTAGATAACACCTGATTCCAGGCAGTGAAGTGAAAGAAAAACCAGGGCAGAACAGCCAGTTGTAGTTAGGCCTGGCCAGATCAACTAGCTTTGTGGGAGGGGCTGAGGACATGAGATGGAGGATGTCAAGCCAAAATGGAGGAGGACATGCTAACAGGCATTGCTCATGATTTAAAAATGACCCTCACACTATTCTATAAACACATACACACACACACACACACACACACACACACACACACACACACACACACACACATATATACATATATATATATATATATATATATATATACCCACACAAAACTGCTCTGCCCTCTTCTGAATTCTTAGTGTTTTCCTCCAATATTCTAGCAATAGACCCTACTGATTCATTCTCATTCTCTTTGAACTTAGTTCCTATTGCAGTAGTATATTGAATTTATATCTTCTCTTTGGAAAAGCAAGGATTAATCCAGGGGGGGGGGGGGGTTCTCTGGGGAAAGAACAGGCATTTAACTGCCAAAGTGATGTCAACATAAACTGGATACAGATCAGACAAGAGTCACAACAGTGTCCCAATAGAAATAAGTGTTCTGTGTAGAGATCCCTGTGTCATAAGCCACACAATGCTAATACTTGATTTGAAACAGAAAATCTTCTCATATTTCTTTAATGGGTTATTCTACCAATAGCAGTTCATACAAATCATCCACAATGGACAGATCCATTAGATACAGAATATCAGACTATACTTTATGTTACATAGACCTAAGATAACCCATATGTTAACTGCTAAATCACAGAACTCTGAAAGGCTATTGATTATAGCACAGACCACACAGTTGACAGCTAAAAGCTGCGATTCAGAAGAAGACATCTTTTCTCTGAAGTTGGTTCATTAAAATCCAAGCAAGAATGACAACAAAGTTAAAGAGCAGCAATTACCCTGTGGGTAGGATTGTCCTATGGGTAGAGGTCCTCTGAATCATGCCTCCATTTTCCTTGACATATTGGAAAGAAATATCTATTTGGCCACTCCTGCAGCCCAGTTGTGTTGAGGACCAGAACAGTTCAACAGGTTCTTCTCATTGGGGGAATCAGCAGTTTTCTGGAACTTTTGTCCTTCTGGTGTACCAATTGTGTTAAAAGCCCAACAAGAACTACACCTATCCTGATAAGAGAACAAGACTGTCATACACAAAGCAAATAGCAAGATATTGAACATCCCTCAGAAAGAAAAATGAACTCCATGTCACCCAGACTCTGCAAGGGCAAGTGACATCTATTCCTGGCTTTCCTATGGGCAGTGAAAGGGTCTACTGTGACCATGTGACACCTGAGACTACACAGTAGTCACATGGCTTTTCTCTCTCCAGTCCACAGATGCCAGCAGCTCACCAAATATAAGTTCCAGATACATCTGTTCCTCATTGTACTCATCGGGCTGAGACATACCTTTCCTGTTTGAATTCCTTGGTGGTCTTCCAAGAACAGTAAAGGAAATATTGAAAACTAAGACCATTTTGTGTAGAATTGAAAGAAGCAAGTGGTAAGCAATGCACATGACACTTGCCATGAATCCCAAGGCATTCATCGACAAGGTGAAGCCACATTTCCCTTGGCTGTATTCTGTATTGTGAAATTCAATTATTTTCATGTCTGCCTCCCATAGTGCTGTCCTCTGTCCCTCTTCATCTTAGGAAAGAATACAAGTAATAATTGCTTTTTCTAGTTAAGCCCAGCCCTGTTTACTAAATGGACCTGCTGAAAAAGCTGGAGAAAGACTCTGGCCAGGTTGCAGTGCCCTTTTGGAAGCTATTCTTTACAGTCAGAAAAGAGCAGGATGTCTCCCCATATTGTGCTCTATGACTAGCATTAGGTTAATGCCTTTCTAAGACCTGGCTTTTAGAAGATACTCTCTGGCTATGAAGTTCCATCAGCAAGAATCTTGTCTCTGGGGTTCCTCTGAACATTGTGATGTTACACCCATTGTGCCATAGCTTTTCCTCTCCTTTGTCTCCCACTCCATCCATTATCCATGCAAAGTGGGATCACACAATGGAACAGCTGAGGCCATTTCCTAGCAAAGGATGTCCAGCCGCAGAGAAGGATCCATATTGTAAAGCCTAGAAAGGAAAGGAAGATGGGATCTCATGTGACTCATGCTTTCTAGAAACCTTCTTTGATTGAAATATTCAAACTACTCTTTCAAATATTCATCTAAGCTATGTAAAGGTTTAAGGATGTGGCTTGACTTAAAGAAACAACTGGAGAAATGAGATCAAGCTATCAACATGAAGGGTATCCTGCCCAGAGCTCTAGGGGTTAAAGCAAAGTGTGCAAGGAAAATGGTTGGTTCAATTGTGTCATTCAGGCAAAAATCTCACTGAATGAGATATGTGATCTTAGTAGGGGCAATCACATTCCCAAGAGCTCGGAGACCACTGACATTTTCATGACCAATACACATCAGGCAGAAGATGAGTTGTGCCTTGGCATCTCTCCTTCTTGAGTGAAAACTTCTGGAATAGCCCTCCTAGACAAACTGGGAAGACAGCACTCCACATTGCCACAGTTTTACGCAACAGCCTCCAATGTCACAACCTGCTGTGCCATTCATGAGTACATGGTCATGTACTCAAACAAATGTAAGTCTGAACCCCCGCACCTGGTCAGCAACAGGAGGCCTGTGGAGCTCCGGGCTCAGATTTGGTTCAGTGCATGTGGAACTCTGGGTAGTGACTGTCCAAGCATACACCATCTGTTTCACCCTCTGCACATTTTCTTAAGAGTTGGAGGATGTGGCCTGGGAAGGTGGCTCGGTGGTAGAGCGCTTGCCTTGCATGCTTGAGGCCCTGGGTTTGATTCCTCAGCACCACATAAGCAAAAAAAGAAAAAAGCCGCAAGTGGCGCTGTGACTCAAGTGGTAGAGTGCTAGCCTTGAGCTGAAGAGCTGAGGGACAGTGCCCAGGCCCAGAGTTCAGGCCCCACGACTGGACCCAAAAACAAAAAACAACAACAACAAAAAAAAGAGTTGGAGGATGTTACTTGGTTGTAATAGACAAGAAGGAATGAGCATCACAATGCAGTTTGCAGGGATGCACCTGCCCTATCCAACCAGGCTAGACCCTGAGCCTGACTGAACTGTACAACCTGAGATCTTCTAAGTGATCTTGTAGCCACCCTGGGTTTCATTCCTCCACACAACCCCAGCCCTGCCATCCTTCTCTAATGTCCCCGGTGCCAGTGTTAGGGCAGAAGCTCTTGTTCCTGCAGGTTGTGTCTACTTGGGATCTTGTTCCTGAAAGGATCCCTATTCCATCCCCTGTTCCCACCATGCCTCTGTGGGTTTGGAATGCTCACCTGAGATTGAAGCTATGTAGGTGCACTCTTCAGTGTAACTCTCTAAAGACCACTGTCCTAACAGCTCCTGTTCCTAATATCTAACTCAGGCTTTAAAGTCTCAGGTCTGCTAACTGACCTGAGGTCCTCCCCACTGTTTTTGTTTTGTTTTGGTCAGTCGTGGGACTTGAACTCTAGGTCTGGATGCTGTCCATGTGCTCTTCAGCTCAAAGTTAACAATCTACCACTTGAGCCACATCGCCACTTCCGGCTTTTTCTGCTTATGTGGTCCTGAGGAATCGAACCCAAGACCTCATGAATGTTGGGCAAGCATTTTACTGCTGAGCCACCTTCCCAGCCCATTCCCTACTTTTTGAACTGTGACTAGATACTCATGACCCAGACTCAGCCCTATTCATCCCTCTGACAAGATCAGCTCCACTTTTGTCTCTCATGTTCATCCTCAACCCTTCTGCAATATGATACCCTCTCTCATGGTATAAGCCCAAAGGAAGGCCCTTTCCAGATGCTGGCATCTTGATACTGAATTTCTCAGTCTCCACATCTGCAAAGCAGTATACTTCTCATGATAAATTACATACACAATCTGTTGTATTCTGCTACAGCCATATAGAATAGACTAATACTGCATGAGTAGAACACAGTATTTGTCTTTTTGTCTTTCTATAGGTCATTTAGCATAATATTAACTAGATTCATGTTGTAGCATCTGGCAGAGTATCCTTTCTTTTAAGGCTGAGTAATATTTTATTATGCATAGAGCCATTTCTTATTTATTTGGGTGTTTGAATTGTTTGGGCATTTTCACACTATTACTAATATTCTTATCATCATAAATGTACAAATATCTACTCACATTTCTACTTTTGGTTCTTTGGAAGTTGTAGTGCTAGATATAATGGTATGCTTGATTTTTTTGTAATTTCCACAGTAGATGTACCATTTCCATTAACATCAACATTGTACAAGTTGTTGTAAGGTGAATCCTCCCATTTTAAAATATAGAATATTAGAGTCTTTATTATACAGTTAACAGGTTGCAGGCTGCCAGCTGTTACAAAGGCCTGAAGCACGCAAATACACATAACACAGCTAGGAAACATGCTAAAGAGGAAAGAAATACCAAAACCATACCAACAAGCCATTTCAGCTCCAATGGAGAGCTGAATTGGGAGGCCATGATGACTGGCGATGAGCCTGGAAACAGGACACAGGACAGAATCACAGAAACACACATGGCATGGCCTCCTTCTGGCTGGGCTGGTCCAGGCCTGAATAGGGTTGGCGCAGGTGGGGCAGACTCACAGGAAATTCCTAGTCCCAGGCACTGTACTGACAGATTCAGTAACCTATCAGCCAAGTGCCCACCTCTGTCTCCGGGAATCCAGGCACACCCATCACCTGGGAGACAGGTGATGGGCAGGGTAATTTCCTTCCCCCAGCATGAAGACAAAATGTCAGACCCATATGGCCAATATGGCACTGGCCAGACCTTACTTCAATGTGTTTCCAGTTCTAATCATCTCTTCAGTATTTTCTCCTTCATCTCTCCCTTCCTTCCCACTCTCTTTCTTTCTCTCTCTTGTTCTCTCTCTTTTATTTCTTCTTTCTTTCTTTCTACCACTCTTTTTCTCCTCTTTCTACTTCTTTCCTCTCAGTGGTTATCCTAGTACCTATGAACTGGTATCTCATTGTGATTATGATTTATATTTATCTGATGATTAGTGATAGGAAACATATTTTCATGTGCTTATTTGCTAGTTATTTATTTTTAGGAGAGGAATAACAGTTATTCTGTTAGTCATAGTGGTAGTGAATTTTAGGAGTTCATTATATTTCCTAGATTTTAATTTCTCATTATTTCTATGATTTGCAAATGTTTTCTGAGGATCCACTTTCCACTCTATTCTAGAGCCATTGAATGGACAAAATTTTGATTATAATGGGATACAATTTATCTATTTTCTCTATTGTTACGTTTATTCTATTTGAAAACCATCACCAAATCCCCTACCATAAACCTTTGCCCTATTTTCCCTTCTTTTGTAGCTTTTACCATTGCATTTCAATATTTCATTCATCTGATTAATTTCTGGGTGGTTTTCCTAGCATTGTTGTTGAAAATTATCTTCTCTCCCTAGGAGATATCTTTTTTACTCCCCATTAATATATTTGAAAATCAATATATGCAAATTCCATTCTAGAGAATTTAAAGCACAAGAAGCCTTTTGTTTCACTCTCAAGTGTAGAAAGTGATTGTGAAAGTTTACTCTGTTGCTAGTGAATGCAAGGAGATTATCTTATTGTCTGTTCTTTGTAAATGTATCACAGAATTCAACAGAGTTATTCAAAATGTCTACATTAAAATCCTCAAGTAGAAGCATTTGATAGTTGCTCTTGGGCTCCCTCTCCAGGAGATTAAGTGAGAAAACCTGCTGACTGCCTTGGCCCCACCAATCCATTGAGCTTGACCAGGCTGAATGGCAGCTGCTGCTCTGAATAGCAGTCTCTTGGTTCCTAAGAAAGCAAAAAAAACCAAGGGAGGAATCCTGGATTTCTTTTCTATCAAGGAGCCCAACTGGAAAAATAAGTCAAGAAATCCTTAGCTGCAGGAGAAGTAGGAGAGAAGTTGGTGTTCCCAAGAAACTGGAAGGCATGGTAGTTCCAAGTTATTAGTGTCTATTTACACAAAATCAGTGTCCATTTATACAAAATCTCCTCAATAAAGAACTGGGTTTGAAGGTGTGGTTCAGTGGTAGAGAGTTTACCTAACCTGTGCCTTTTACCTACACTACTACCTGAGTAGATATCCAACACATGTGAGAATAGAGGTGAGCCTCTTGCACAGATATCAGATTTCCCTTGAGGAGAACATTGCAGTATTAGGAGATCTTCAGATAAGGATCCCCAAAGACCAGCAAGGAGCCGATTCCAATGTAAGCACATGAGAGTCATTTAATACAAGCTCGAGCTTGTGACAAGACTCACAACCATCACCCATGCAGCAGATCAGAGTTGAGAGCCCCGACCCTTCCTCTAGCAGGGTTTTTATAGGGTTTTTAGGGACTTCTATGCATCATTACAACACTTAGCAAATCATATCACACCGCGGGAAAAATCATAAAATAATTCTAAAAGATGATTAGTGAAACCAGTGGCGGAAACCAACCAGGTACTGGGGATTGGCTGGGTCATGGAGTTGATGTTCTTTGAAATGATTGTCTAAAGCAGATGGTCTGAGCCGCCACCAAGTGCTCTTTAGCTTGCAGGAACATCTGGAACTTTGGGTTTTTCCTGTTATCTGCTGATTAGATGTAGTTAGTGGAATTTAC